GGTTAAAACGTGTTGGCTCTAAATGAAAGGAGGTACAGCATCCGTATTAGAAGAGCTGCCACTTTCGTACTCATCCCCGCGTTTTGCTGGAGTTGGCTTACGAGGACCCGATGAGGAGTATATTGTTATTGCTAGGAATGGAGTTGATATAGTTGATAGAAAGATTTCGTACGGGAGAAGCCACCATATCAACGCTCGTTCTCCAATTCTGCAGCCGACGCTCTTCTTCTTCCATATCCTTTCTTAGCCCCCAAACAATGGGCGTGATGATTTTCCAATGAGAAGCAGCAATCGACAAAGCCCCGATAAGGATCGCCATCGCTACAGCAGGGTTGGAGATTAAATCGGAACTCCCTGTTGGTAGCATGATTTTTTTGTTTTGCAGTTAAATTTCCCTTAGAAATGAAGCTAAGCATTTTTTTTTGTTCGTTAAAATGGACAAAGTTTGTTCTTCGACGTTCCTGGAAGAGAGTCGTCTTACCGGAGAAGAGTATGTAACCAAATTGAGGAAGCGGTTACATCCCGATTTGGTGAAATTTCTTTTGAAAAACCAGGACGACATTCAGAAACTTTGGGACGAAGAACAACTATTTCCTATTTCCAATCTTTCAGCAAGCGTGTTAGTCAGAGGATACTTACTTCGAGGACGCTTCGGAGGACAGCCTGAAGAAACTCCGAAGCAAATGTTTTTTCGGGTTGCCGCATGGCTTTGGTACCCTGATATGGAAAAAGTGACGCATTGTTATAAGCAGCTGTGTCATGGTTTCTATATTCACGCATCTCCTACGCTCCTCAATGCAGGAACGGATTCTTATCAATTAGCTTCTTGCTTTTTGCTGACAGTGGATGACTCATTGGAAAGCATTTACGATAGTTTGAAGGAGGCGGCTACCATTTCCAAATTCAACGGAGGTCTGGGAGTTGATCTTTCTCGAATTCGTCATTCAGAAATTCGCGACATCGGAATGTCTAGAGGAATCGTTCCTATTGCGAGATTGTTCAACGATACTATTCGAATGGCGGACCAATTGGGAAACAGAGCAGGCGCTGCTACTTTGTATCTTCCTGCATGGCACGTCGATGTCTTCATGTTTTTGGAGCTTCCTGTCAAAAATGGTCCGGTGGATTTGAGAGCATACGATGTGACTTTGGGGTTGTGGATGCCTGACTTGTTCTATAAACGTTGTTTGGAAAATGGTAATTGGAGTTTGTTCTGTCCAGCAAAAGCCAAAGGGCTAACTGAAGTTTATGGAGAAGAATTTGAGAAACTGTATTGTCAATACGAAGAGGCTGGTGTCTTTTCGAGTGTAGTGAAAGCGAAAGATTTGCTTCTTCAAATTGCTAGGGTTCAGCTTCAAGCCGGTATGCCGTTCATTTTGAATGGAGACCATATCAATCGGTTCAACATGCAAAAAAATATAGGAATAATTCGTTGCTCTAATTTATGTACCGAAATTGTGGAAGTTTGTGATAGTTCCACATTGCCTCTTGTAATTTGGCCTCCATCAACCTGTCGAAGCTAGTTAATGAACAAACCGTTGAGTTTCAGTTTGATTTGCTCGGTAGCATAACGGAAGAGCTGGTTGAAAATTTGAACCGTGTTATCGACCGCAATTACTATGTCCTGAACAAAATTGAAGCTTGCAATCTCAAAACGAGGCCATTGGGGATTGGTGTTCAAGGATTTGCAGACTGCATTTACAAGCTTGGTCTTGGTTTTGAGGATGAAGAAGTTCGAGCGTTGAATAAGAAAATTTTTTCGTGCATTTACTATCATGCATTGAAAAAGTCTTGTGAGCTTGCAGTTGTAGATGGTCCTTATCAAAAATTTCAGAATAGTCCGTACTCACAAGGTAAATTCCATTGGGAATTCTTTGAAGACGCATCACCTTCCTATCCTGAAATGGAAAGTTGGGAACAACTGCGGAGTCTGATCAAAACTTATGGGGTTCGAAATAGCCTTCTTGTAGCTTTGATGCCAACTGCTTCGACTTCTCTCATTTTATCCAATTATGAAGGCTTTGAACCTCCTTCGGGTCATGTTATTTCGAGAAGAGTAGCCGATGGGCGTCATATTGTGAAGAATCCTTATGTTGTTTGGACAGATGACCTAATTGAGAAATCGTTGGAGAACGATGGAAGTTTGCAGTTTGCGAAAGGTATGGAGCGCTTCAAAACTGCTTTTGAAATTCATCCCAAAGTGCTCATTGACCTCGCTGCTGATCGGACTCCATTTGTGGATCAGAGCTCTTCGTTTAGTTGGTCGATAAACTGCACTCCTTCCGAATTGGCCGATTTATTAGTGTATGCTTGGCAGAAAAAATTGAAAACAAGCTGTTACTATATTCATAGCAAGCCTGCTTCTCGACCTCAGTGTTTTCTGAATAGCGGAAAGCGCAGTTCTTCCAAAAAATGTTGCCAATAAATTTCTTGTTGTCGTGGCTTTCGAGGAAAAATGATTTCTGATAGTCAAAAGATTAATTTCAAAAAATAGAGCAAAAATTGAATTTTTCGGCAAAAAAGGGGTAGCATTTGTCGAGGAAGAATCATCGAAAAACGACGTCTTGTGAATAGAGATTCACGAACTTTCCTAAAGCTCAACATGAGTCTAAAGACCAAGGCAATTTTTCGAATTCGGAATTGACGAGGTTTTCAATGGTTATCGTGTTTTTTTTTTCACTGAGTCTTACAAAACAATTCCCATTACGAGAAATAGAACAGTTAGGTCGAATATCAAAACCCAGTTGACTATCAGTACTTTGGGAAATGGAAAGAGAATTCCTGTGATGGAAACTAGAATGGAAGCAGCAGAAACGAGTCCTGGGATGAGTGCAGAAGCTCCCAAGTTAGAAATGAAAGGAAGAATTTCATCTTCAATTTCTGTCTTTTCTTGTCGAATTTGGCTGCTTGTGAGAATGGGAAAAGTGAATTGCTTCATTAGCGACGAAAGCTGTATATCAAGCGCCCATTGAATGAACAGTCGAGAAGCTAAGACAAGCTCGATTGTCAGAATTAGAACAAAAGTTATCATCGGGTGACTTGGAAAACTGAACAATCCTCCTGTGAAAATAACCCCCAATAAGACTGCGATTGCTATGTTTTGAAAGTTCATGCTTGAGTAGCTTTTAAAAAATGGTGCAGTACTGGTGCATTAACCGACTGGACCGTCCAAACCGATGGAAAAAATTCAGCGAACAAATTGTTGGCAAGCTGCAGTTGGTTGTGCATCGATTCCCAGCAATTACAGGGGAATCGGTCGATTTGAGTGTGCTATCCATTCGAGCGTTGAGAGTTCTAGAGACAGGAACAAGGAAGGGCCATGAAGATCTCACAGGACGAAATTCGATCGGATGCTATCTTTCTCACCTAGCCTTGTGGGAAAAAAGCGTGGAGCACAATGAACACTTTTTTGTTTTTGAAGACGATAGCGAGCCTTCATTAACAGCTTCTTTAGATTTGGAAAAAAAAGTGAGCCAGGCTATATTAAGCATCGAGGAACCTTTCATTCTTTTCTTTGGTCTGCATAAAATGTCAATAGTACAAAATACTTCACCAATCATTGACAGCACAGATATGAAGTTGCATAAAATTGACTCTCAGAGAAGCCAACTATATGGCACCCATGCCTATCTCATATCTCCATCCGCAGCTAGAGGTATGATTTATTTTAGTCGTCCTATCGAAATGCAAGTTGACTCCTATATTGTAGCTGCTTCGAGAAAGGCGGGAGTTCAGCTTTTTCTAACGGAACCTCAAATGTTTTCACAAAGTTCCCAATTCTCAACCGACATTCAAATTATAGGCCTTGAACAAACCAATCAAGTCTTGTTTTGGTTCAACAAGTACGTCATTTCCTTGGTGTTTATAGTAGGCATCTGTTTTCTTTTTGCCTTGACGCTGGTGTGCATTCAGTGAAGAAAGGAGACAAAAAAAATAAGACTTTTCTTTTTTCCTCGAAAACTTAAGGTTCTAATTACGCAAATTGCATTCTTCGTTTGTATCTGTGATAGTGGCAAGGAGATCGAGGAGAAGACAGCAAGGCAGCTGAGTACTGTGGGTCCTGTTCCAATCGTTTGTAGGCTGCTCCTCCTACTATAATAGGGTAGTTGCTCTTTGGACTTTTGATGCAAGTTCTATCTGGACCCCATACACCAGGAGAAGCTCGGAGGCCTGCTTCTGGAGAAGCGACCGGACTCCTCTTACCCCCGTATCTGCAAGGAACTTGAGGTGCGCTTCGCAGCTGAGCTGCCATTCCACTAGAAGCTAACCTGTTGTAGGTAGGACCTCCTACTAAAATAGGGTAGTGAGTCACAGGATTTTCGACGCATGCTCTACCTCCTTCAGGACTTGCTAATCGCGGGCTGCCTTTTCCATGATATCGACAGTGAACTACTGGAGCTCGACGAATAGCTTCTGAGTACTGCGGATCCTGCGCCAGTTTTTGATATGTTGGTCCTCCGACTAGAATGGGGTACTTGCCGTTTTTAGGGTTGATTATACACTCACGAAAATCAGACATTTCTTTTAATGATACTATTTTTTTTATTCTTCTTCCAAAGAGACAATGTCAGATTTTTCGTTCGAAAAATTGATGAAAAAAGCCACAGTTGCAATGATCACAGTGAATAACGAGAGAAAGACGACCACTGATATCTCTATGATTTTCACTGAAGAAAACATTTTGTTTTTTTTTTTCAAAAAGAAAACTGGAGATCTTTTAAGGAATCTGGTAGGATTCCTCTTTTTTCCGCATAGATCAAAGCCGTCGCGATTGTGTCTATGAGAATGAGGATGCTCAACGAAGAAAGAAGAAATATGCGTAGAACTGATCTATCCATTTATTTTTTTTCGTTTTTAGCAGCAAATATAATAGCCGTCATTATTACAGCAATAAGAAACAAAGTTACTATCAGGCTGATAGCGTAGATTCTGTACGTCTTTATGGAAACTTTCATTAGAAAGGAATGGAGCTAGCGTATTTTAGAGACATGGTTGACGCAGCAGACGAGGAGTCGGCGTTCTGCAAAAGATTTATCAAGCTAGTTAAATAGTTCTCGGCATCTGTTTTGCTCAACGATTTTTGTGAAGCGGCTTGGTAAATGATAAGTGCATCCTTCACGCTGGAATGTGTTTGAGGGACGTTTTCTATCATGGCGAAGTAGGAAGAGTCGTAAGAGAAGGTATTCATCCAAAAAGCTGTATTTGGACTTGTGTTCATGACGTATTCCAATGGTAAATTGTAGTTTGAAGCAAACTTGTAGCAGGCAGCCAGTAGTACAGCTCTAACAAGCTGCCTTTCCGTTATATCAGAAGAGGCCAAACCTGCTTGAAGTTCAGCTGAATATTCCACTGAAAATGTAGTAACTGAAGCAGATATGGAAACAATGTAGAAAAAATAGTAGAAAGCGTAAGCATCGACTCCCAATAGAACTACTATAATCGCAAAGTAAATCCACAGTTCTACTTTCTCGTTCATTTTTTTTAAGGAGCATCCCTCTCTCAAAAAAAGATGGAGACTGCATCTGAAGAAATTAGAAAGCAGGTGGAATTTTATTTTTCTCCAAGTAGCCTCTCCCGTCGGGGTTTTTTACGAGACATAGTAAAAACAATGGGCGGAGTTCCTATCGATAAACTTCGTCGATTCCGAAAAATTTCGGAGATTCTCAGCAGATATGAAATTCCAGAAGATGACCAAGAAAACCTCATACATGAAGCTCTAAAAAATTCATCCTGCATTTCATTCGGAGTATTAGCAAAGCCGGTAAACCCAGTATTTCGAAACGAAGGAGTAAGAGAAAGAACTTATTTTCATCAATATCGTAGCGAAAAAGAAGAAGCTTTTACTATAGAACAATTAACCGATATTTTTTCGGAATACGGTAAGGTTCTTTCTGTGAGAAAAACTGGAAGGGGAGCTTATGTAGAGTTCGATTCAGAAGAGGCAATCCATAAGTTGTGCGAATTAAAATGATATCCGCTGTGGTCATTGCCGCTATCGTCGCGGCAGGATCTTCTCTTTTTCTTTCTGGAGTGAAAACTATCGACGACTATTTCATAAGCAAAAACGGGAAAAACAAGAAGAAAATCGCAAAATTGAAGAAGCAGCTAGAAAAACTGCGAGAGGAACTCGGATCAGCTCCAGATAAAGAACTAGAAACGACAATGCATGACTACCCTGGAGTGTCTGTCGAAACCCAACTTCGATGGATGGCTGAAGACATTATCGGTTCCCTCGATTCACAGGAGAACGACGTGAAAAGATAAAAAAATATAAGGAAAGACTGAAGGAGTGAAGAAGGTAGGA